GACCCTCCCCTCGAGGAGCGTGCAGATCAGGGGGTAGCCAGCAGGTGGAGCCGCAGGCGCAGGGCCGGGCGCTGATCAGCTGAAGGGCGGGGAGCTGTGGGGGGTCTGCAGTCAGTCACCTGCCAGCGTGGATCGCCGACCGCCTCCCACACCTCCCGACGACCACCTCCTCGCACGTGCACTCACCGGGGGCAGGTCTCCCGGGCCCGGGCCCTGCCAGCGTGGATCGCCGACCGCCTCCGACACCTCCCGACGACCACCTCCTCGCACGTGCACTCACCGGGGGCAGGTCTCCCGGGCCTGGGCTCCCTTGGCGCCTTGGTCCCTGTGGAATGGAGTGCTGCTCGTGTGTGGAGCGTGTCTGGGTCACACACCAGCCACCTCCAAGGTCTGGGCTGCCCCACTGGCTGGGAGCTGACCGGGCAGGCAGCCAGGTCTGTCGGGTCCACCCCCGGCCCCACTGGTCTGCCGGGAGCAGCAGTGACACATGAAGACTCGCCCTGAGCTCGGGGAGGGGACGGAAGGCGGAAGGCGCGGGAGCCACAGCCGCTCAGCGCCAGCTCCACGGAGGAGGCCTCCGTGCCTGTGACCGCGCCTGGGCTCGGTGAGGCCAGCGGCTCTGACTGCTCCACCCTGAAGGCAGAGGGTCTGCTGGCCGTCAGAGGGTGCGCTGGTCCCTGGAGTGGAGGGTCACGAGGGAAGTGGGAAAGGGACGATGCCCCTTTCGGGGCGGCCCCAGGGGGTTGCTTTCTGCCCACAGGAGAGCCTGTGGCTGTGGCGGCTCTGTTGACCTCCGGGGCCCAGTGGACCCTCCTCCTCCTCCCCTCTCTTGGCTCCTCCTTCCGGCCCTGGCCTGGGGGCTGCGGGCTGCTGGGAGGATGGGGGGCGGGACCTGCCAGCCCTCCCCAGAGTTCCCTGCCAGACCCCAAGGAGGCCTGGAGCGAGGCACCCCGTTGCCCCACAGCACCCCACAGCTGCACCCGACCACCTGAGAGGAGGCTGCCGTCTATGACAAGCACAAGGTGAGGGTTTGGGCTTGAACTTTTGCTCCTCCGGGGCCCCAGGACTGACCTGGCCTCACCACCTGCCCCTGTCTGCCTGCCCAGGGCTTGTCATCCCAGCGGATGAGTGGTCGATCTGGAGGAGGTGAGCCTGTGAGTGCCAGCGGCTCTACCCTCTTGGGGGAGATAGTGGATAGCAGACGGATGGGGGGAGCGCACTGCCTCGGACAGGGGGCTGCACACCGGGTGGGCTTGGGAAAGGGCTGCCTCTGCCCAGCTCCCGGCCGCAGCCACAGTCCTGTGGGTCCCACATGGCACATTCCCCCCAGTCCTGACCCTCTCCTGCACCCCGGCCCACCTCACAGGTTCAGGGACAGAAAGACCCGCTGATAAGAGCTGGACTCCCGCTGTTTACTTAGCCACTTGGCACCCCGGGTCTTCCCAGTTGAGACCTCCTGTGTCTGTCCCGTAGGAGGGTGTGGGGCTTGTGGCAGCTGCTGGGCAGAGAGCCCTACCCATGGCACATCCGCTGGCTGCCCCGTTCCCTCTGCATCCCCGAGGGAGGCGGTTCTTCTCATAGACAGGGCACTACTTCCGACGGGCTGCGGGGTGGCAAGCAGCCTCACTTGACCCTGTGGCCAAGCCTGAGAGGCCCAGTCCTCTCGCGCCCAGTTCCTCTTGATGTTTGGCCAAAGGCAGCTGGGTTTCTGCACTCCCAAGAGTGCCCACCTGGGGCCCTGCCTTGCCTTGTAGGACCCATCCCTCTGTTCAAGGTCTCCGTGGAGGAGCTAACTGAGTGGCCGGCGGTGCAGAAGAGTCCCAGGAGGCAACCAGAGGGACCGACCCCACCTAGTCGCCAGGCTCAGTGTCCCTGTGTCCCCCCAGGCCCGCCGTGGACATGGCACCGTGGACATGGTCTGGGCGGTGGAGGAGCCGCTTGTGGGCAGTGGATGAACCGTTCTTGTGTGTCTGGCTGGGAAGCTTCTGGGGGGGGGGGGGGGTTTGTGGAGGCCTGGGCCTTCTCGCTGCCTCTGAGGGCCGCCCTCCGCCTGCGGAGGCCCAGTTGAGGCAGGTTCACCACATTTGGGGGCAGACGAGTGAAGTCCGAGCCAGGCCATGTGGGTGCTGCTTTGCTTGGAGGAACGGAGCTCTCCTGCATGTTCTGTGGCCCCTCCCCCCACCCAGAGGCCCGCGCATGGCAGGGAGGGTGGTCCCCAGGCGAGCTGTGGAGCGGTTGCTTGGTGTTTTCTCTCCTCTCAGAGAGGACCCTGAGGACCTGAGAGAGTCCTGGATCGGGCAGGTGGCGCTTGGCTCTCCGCTCGCTTCCTGCTGGTCTGGCTGGCATGCCCTTCGGTGTGGTGGGCACCCCCACCAGCTTGGAGGTGGGGGCCCTGAAGGCTCTGTGGGTGGCAGTCTCGCAGGGAGGGCCTCTCCCAGGAGCTGTCGGCACAGCCCCAGGGCCGGCAATCTGTGTCCCCTCCTCAGCTGACCCACACTTGACTTGGGGCCAGTCACCCTGAGGCCTTTCCTGCTCTGAGATTTGGAGGTGCCTTGGCCCTCTTCCCTGGCCCTTACCTGGAAGTCCAGCCTTAAGACCCATTCAGGTCCCTGGGAGCACAGGGGGGTTCCCCTGACGACTGGCTGAGGGCTGCTGGCTCCCCTGAAGGGTGATGTGGGAGCAATGACACCTGGGTTGTGTTCCCGGTGGTGGGGCCAGCGGGGCATGCAGCTGGCCAGTAGGCATGGCTGGTCACTCTGGAGATCCCACGGCTCATGAGGTCATCGAGAGTCAGGGCCTGCCTGGGCAGAGCCCGGGGCATGTCCCTGAGATCTCTGTTCATAGCTGGGGCCACAGTCCCAGTCCCACACTCCTCCCAGTGCCCTCATGCCTCCCATACATCAGTGATCTCTCATGTACTGTCCCTACTCCATGAGCAGTTTTTAATATTTAAAAATTTTTACCAAAAGCTGACAATTCCCAGCCTGCCCCTGCCCCTGCCCCTCCCAGCTCTGGTGGCCCAGCATGGCCCAGCCCAGTTGTCCAAGTTACAGCCCCTGATTGGTGGTGGTCTGGGTGGGCCAGCCCCCCATGCTCATGTCCACAGCACTGTCCCCATCAGCCCTGAACTGAGTCAAGCTGATCCCTTTCCAGCCCCTCAGCCTGTCATCTGGGGCCCCCCAGGGGTGTGCACCCCTGATGTCCCAGTCCACTGACCTTGGCTCTCAGTCACCCCTCACTAACCTGCTCTCCACCCTAATGAAGGCCACAGGTAAGGGGGCTCCTGCCAGGGACTTAGGCCTGCAGGGTGGGGGGTGAACGTGGGCATCGGGCTCCCTGTCGGCACTGGGAGCCAGGGGAGAGGTCCGAGTCCTGGCTGGCCTGCTCCCTGGTTCTGTGCTGCGGGCCAATGGGAGGCGCTCCATGGCTTCGGCAGGTGGCTCAGTCCCCCGTGACAGAGGCTGGGCTGAGGCGGCACCTGAGTGTGGCCTGGGCCCTGAATCTGTAAAACATGAGCTCTCCTGGAGGGGCAGCATCCGTCTGTCTCCTCAAATCTCACAATACCCTGACTCAGCCAAGGTTAAGAAGCCCTCAGTGACTGACAGAGTCACCCCCCACCACAAATAAAACAACCACCAGCAGGCTGGACCATCATACTGTTCCACCTTCCGGGAGTCGGGGTGGGGAGGGGCATGGACTGTCTATGCTCACACGTCACACGGAACCCGGAGCTGAGCCATTGGGGCCCATCTGGCCACATGCCCAGGTTCTGTGGATCTTCTCTGAGAGCCTCCAGTTCCCCCTCCAGGAGGCCTTGCAGCCCCTCAGGGCCCTGGATTTGGGGACCATTTGCACTGACCAAGGTCAAAGCTGCAGAAGCCAGACCTGCCCTGTGCTGCCCCACCTATGTCCCTGCAGAGCTGGCCAGACCCTCAGCTGGCTCGGAGCCCTCTTGATCCCCAGGGAGGGGCTGAGCCCCTGTGCTTACGTGACAGCAGCCCAACCAGTGAGCTTCCTGTCAAGGGCCACGGCTGAGCTGTGGACACAGGAAGGACCATCACTGGCTGTGGACTGGGGAGGGTCCCATGGGACTGGGCCAGTAGAGGCCTCTTACAAAGAGTGGCCATAGGACCGTGTTATGTCCACTGTCTCATTCTGGTGTCAGTCCCGGAAGGTGGGGCCAGTCCAGGCTCTGTTCCCCTTTGCATCCTGAAGCTGGCACTCGAGTCTGGCTCTGGTGTGCACTGGCTGCCTGGCGGTGCACATTGGAGAGAGCAGGTGAGGCCTGGGCATCTTGGTCCCTGCCCTGAGTCCTATCAGGTGCTGGGAGCTCAGAGGAGCCACTGTGAGGCCCACCCATGTGCACCGTCTTCCCTTCCCTGGGCCTGTGTGTGACCCCATCTCCACCTTCACCCCCTTGAACCTTCTGCCGGCTCCAGACTCCCTTCCAACCCCTCTTCTCACCCGCCAACCGCCCCCAATCTGGAGCCCTGTGCTGTTCTGTTCAGCAGGTGTGGGCTGGGCCTGGCCAGGAAGCTGGGCTCTCAGGTGGCCTTCCTGGGACCTGACTGGGTGGTGCACATCCAGGGACCTTCGGGCCGACCAGGGGCTGCAGAGATAGGTGTGGCTGGCTCTTGGGTGCTCCATGCCCTGCAGCACCCAGGAGAGTGCTGTGTCGTGCCCCTGCTGAGAAGTCCTGGTCTTGAGACATCTGGGGAGGCCTCACCAAGGGCCTGGGGTGCAGGGCAAGGGAAGCGCAGGTGCAAGGTCCCAGGTGTGTGGCTAATTTCCTCAGGGTTGGAGACTGTCTGCTTAGTGTGGCCCAAGTCCCAGAGTCCTGCAGGTGGAGAGCAAGGCCTGTGGCAGTGGAGCTAAGCTGGGGCCTTTGAAGGCTGAGGGGCTGTGTAATTGTGTTTATGTGATCAACACACCGAGAGTCAGGGGAGAGGTTGGCAGCCAGAGGTAGGGCTGGCAGGCCCTTTGGGGTCAGAGGTGGATCAAAAGCTTGGCTCTGTCCACCTGGGCTGGGCAGCTCCTTCTGCTCTTCCTCCTGTTGCTTCACCCATTATTTTCTCAGGAACCTGGGCCTGGCCTTCAGCCCCTGGGGCAAGCCTAACCTGAAGTCCTCCACTTAGCAGGGGCTGTAAGAACACTGTTTCTGCCTCCACGGGGGGTCAGACAGGGCCTGGAGCAGCCTGGGCCATGTCCCGAGAGAGGGACAGGGATCTGGACGTCCATGAAGCTCTCAACAGCTCGTGTGGGAACAGCCACCACCCAGCCAGGCCTGATCTGACCCCCTGGGGACCCTGGCGTGGACCCATCAGCGGCACTGCCTGCCCCCTCAGCTGTCAGGAGTGACTTGGGGTGGCAGTATCTAAAGGGGCTGGTTGCCATGGCTACCATAGGGCTCTGAGACATCATCTGGTCCCTGCTTCAGCCAGTCGGTGGTGGGAGCCCGAGTTGCAGCCTAGATTCACGCTTCTTCCTCCAGCCACACAGTGGCCAAGAGCAGGGACTCGCTTCCTGGAGTGGCTGAAGGTGCTCAGACCCTGGCCCAGCCCAGCATGGCGGACCGCAGGGTGGTGGGTGTGAGCAGGCTCGCAGACCCAGGCAGGTGAGGCAAGCCGGGCGGGCGGACGGACAGGCAGACAGGCGGACACGTAGACATGCTCCCTGCTGCCCTTTGTTCTTACGGCCGAGGCCCTGCCCTCAGCCCACCCTGCCCTCTGCACCCTCACATGCACCTACACGCACACCCGCACCCTCATGCTGAGACCCTCTCCCCAAACATCCCAAGGAAGGGTCATGGGAGGAGCGACAAGGGACACAGCACGAGGCGGAATGAGCCCGCACACTCTGGTCCTGAACGTCACTCGCAGGGGCTCTCACAGGAGATTTCACATGGAGGCGGCATCGAAGACCCCCACTGGCCAGGCCCGCGGCAGAAAGGCTGCCTGCCCCTCTCCTAGGGCTAGGCGCATGTCAAGGCAGTGAGGTTGAAGGGACATTTTTTTTAGAAGAAAATAAAAAGTAAAAACCCTCAAAAAAAGAGGAAAATGTCCACCTAGAATAGGGAGCAGCCAGTCCAAGATGGATCAGAGGAGCCAAATCCCGTTACTCGGGACTTCATCTGGCCCAGGCCCCTCAGGCACAAGGCACCTTTCCTAGGAGTTGGCACTGGGGTTGGGGGAGTCCAGCAGCCCTTCCCTCTGCTTGTGACCTCTAAAGCCAGTGGGTCCGGGTCAGGACCCGCACTTTGTCAAGGAGGGTATTCTGGCTCACAGAGATGCCCACCTTGCCCAGAGCCACCAGCTGCCCAAGGCATCAGCAGACTGTCAGGTCTCCAGGGAGGCAGGAGCTGGGCCAGCCTGGCCACACCGTTCATATCCCTGAGGCTCCCAAGTTGGGGAGGCGCTGGGTTTGTGGTGGGAAGGCTGTTCTCCCCTCCTTCTTCCAGGCCCCTCTGGCTGCAGGGACCTCAACACCCACTCTACAGCCCTGAGCCTACATGGCCATCTCCTGGACCCCTGGGTTCCTCCCGGGCTCAGAGCCCCCCTCCCCCACCCTGAAAGGCAGTGCAGGCAGGTCTCTGCTGTGCCCTCAGCCCGAGCAGCAGGACCCTGTCAGCACATGGGGATGGGACCGTGAGGCAGGATAGTAAGAAGCTCGGGAGAGTCCTGGACACTAAGGAGCAGTGGTTTACACACTCCAGGCGGCCCTGACAGGAGAGCCTGGGTGCTGGTCCCTCTTCAGGGACACGCTTTGAAAAGAAAACTCACCAGAAAGCACCCCGGCCCCTCTATGCACTCATTCTGATGGGTCAGCATATTGAAGGACACGCCTGAATGCGAATGAGCATTCTATGAGGACCCTCCCCTGAGACCTCCCCCAGGGTTCTGGCAGACCAACAAGAGATAAAAAGCCTCAAGACAAGAGAGCCACACCCATGCCTCGTCCTGCTCTTCTTTCTCCTAAACCAGTGATGGCGAACCTTTTGAGCTCGGCCTGTCAGCATTTTGAAAAACCCTAACTTAACTCTGGTGCCGTGTCACATAGAAATTTTTTGATATTTGCAACCATAGTAAAACAAAGACTTATATTTTTTATATTTATTTTATACATTTAAATGCCATTTAACAAAGAAAAATCAACCAAAAAATGAGTTCGCATGTCACCTCTGACACGCATGTCACAGGTTCGCCATCACTGTCCTAAACCCTAAGGCAGAGTCGCCAGCCTGTGTCCGAGGGCCACTGGTGGTCCGTGAGGTCCGAAAGGTTGGCGACCGCTGCTCTAAGGGACCCCACGAGACTTGCAACCAGGGGAGCAGCTCGATCCAGGCTACCCCCTGACCCTGTCTCCAAGGCCCCCTTTCCCTCACTTTTCCTCTCGCTCTGCTTCTCCTACCTTAAGCCCTCCCTGTGGTTCACTGTCCCCAGCTTTAATAAACACTGCAAAAGCCAGCTGGGCTTGTGTTGTGAAAACTTTCCTACACGCAGTCAAGAACCACACACCACAGGCCAGCAGGGATGTGGGGCTGTGTCATGTCTGCTGGTGTGTTGTCCATGCAGGGGACACAGGGCGGGCAGGAGCCATCAGGACGGAGCAACAGGGTTAGGAGGGACTCATGCCAGGTGTCGTGTCAGTTCAGTGCAGCGGTGGGCACTGAGCTGACCCGAGCCAGCCTGTCAGAGGCAAAGCCCTGCTCCTGTCCCCATAGTTCTCCAGCTGGTATTCAGGCCAGGACCACTCCTAGGGCATCTGCCTCACAGTGTCAGCTGAAGGGCAGGCGAGAGAAATCCAAACAGCAGGAGGCATGCGAAATGTCAGCCTGGACAACACAGCTGCCCCATGGCTGCGACGGGTGAGAGGTCGGCCCAAGAAGCTCCTTCTCGTGGGTCCCGGGGCCCAGCTCAGGGCAACTGCAGCAGTCATGGGGTGGCCGCCCTCTTCCTGCCACTGCCCAGTGGCCAACTCTGTCCTGTCCCCCAGGTCCTTACCCCGCCGGTCTTGCTCTGACATTGACAGGTTAACACCTGTTGCAGAGCTGTGTGGTCTCCATGTGATCATAATAGTGATACTGTGTAGAACTCCCTCCTGAACACACAATAGTGACATCACGTAGATCTTCCTGAACACAGAACGGAGCCCACTCCTAATTCAGCTCTCCAGCTATAAGCTGGTATTAATGCCCTGGGGCAGGTCATTAGCCCTCTTGCCTTTATATGCACATGTTCTAGATTCACAAATACGGCAACCTATGTGTGCAGTCTCCTAGCTTTTCTCCTTGGTGCTGCTATATCTTGCGACCTTGGTGCAATGGCCCCACATCCTAGGTTGGCTTGGGACAGGGGCTCAAATAACACCTGGTCCTCTTCCAAGTTCAGAACTGATGGGAAATGGACATGGGAAGGCCTAGCCAGTTTGGCTCAGTGGATGAGCGTTGGCCCACAGACTGAAGGGTCCTGGGTTCGAATCAGGTCAAGGGCACGTACCAAGGTTGCAGGTTCCCGGGCCCTGGTCAGAGTGCATGTAGGAGGCAACTGACCAATGTGTCTCTCTTACATCAATGTTTCTCTCTGTCTCTCCTTCTCCCTTCCACTCTCTCTAAAAATCAATGGAAAAATATCCTTGGGTGAGAATAAACAAAACAAAACAAACAAACAAACTATATATATACTAATAAAAGAGAAACATGGTAATTGGCGTACGACCGCTACCCATTTCATTGGCTAATCAGTGAGTATATGCAAATTAACTGTCAGCCAAGATGGCGGCCGGCAGCCAGGCACTGAAGCGAGCAGGGAGGCTTGCTTGCTGCAGACTCCAACGTTCC